GGCCAGGTAAGCTTGGGCCAACCCAGAGCCAGTGGGTAGCAGGCTCAGCCCTACCTAAACCATATAGACTAAGAGTAGGGTAAGGTGCCTCTCCTTCAAAGAAATTTAGAGTGCACGTTACAAAAGAAAGGGGAAAGAGACAACCACTGTCCATTACAATTGCCTCAATAAACCTGAATGGATTGGAAAACCTGGTGGTATAAAGGATGTATAACCAAAAAATAACAATAACCATGTAATTGGTAATAGACAAAGTAAAATGTGTCATCAGAAATTTGTATTTTTTTTAATCTCCAAATACCAAATAGCTCCTTTGATTGCATTATTTTCACTGATTTCAACAAATTAAACTGTAATTGGCCCAGATGATTCCAACACTCACTTTAAATTTAAAAAAAAATTCTGGAATTCTGTGCATTGGTTAGTTGATTAGTTCATTGTTTTGGAACCATCTAGAAGTGACTTTCAGGTCATAGAGTCAGGTAAACTACATGGTACTGTGTAAACAGTCTGACAGTTACCGGGGTTTTTTCAACTATGGCTTCCCCACAAGGCCAATATAAGATACACTCCTTCAGGGAATTCTTTATTTAATATCATTTTGTAGGAGAAACAAGGAGACTCCAACTTTATATTTGAGTAAAAATATATCATCATTTTTATAAGATTATTTAATAATATTACATTTTTCCTTCACATTTACAATTATATTCTCACCATAACTCTCAATATATAAAATAGGAATTTATGAAAGAATTTTATGGGTAAAATAAAAAGTATTTCCTAGAAATATATAATAAAGTAACTAAATAATTTTTAATTATTAACTTTTAAAAGCAAACTGTAAGTGCAAATGTGAGACTAGAACTTCTACTAGTTTGATTTGAGGCACTACTATGAACCTAAATTACACTTTTCTGGAAAAAAAAAATTTTTTTTTTAGTTTATGTCCCTCTTTATAACACTGATGTGTTTTAGCCAAACAAAAGCTCTCCAGATGACACTTGTCACCATAGTCTGTTTACTTCGACAAACACAGGTTTTCTTTTACTTCCATTTTTTTGTGGAGAACCTTGATTAGAACAAGGCAAACACCTATATCACAAATTGACGAGTGGTGTTTCTTTTTTTTAAGATTATAAGAAATTAAGATTCACCAGCTTTAATGTTATTTCATAGGTCTAAAAAAAAAAAAAAAAAAAAAAACA